TAAGATTTATGTGCTATTGTGTTGGGTCCATGAATCAATGTGTGCATGCAAACATTATCTACAAGTAATAAATGGTTTCTATAAACGTGCAGCCACATATGCATGAATGTGCTATGCAGATACTCTCCATTCTGCAACTATTTGTTACTCTCTCAAGTGTTTTAGGAAATAAACTGCAAGCCCAGTAGTCTTTTTGACTAATACTCTTTTTCAAAAATGATCATAAACAAGTCACTTTAATAACAAACATTAATTTAGTTTCTTAGTATTGCTGGGACATAATTAATTCATCAAAAAAAAATCAAAGTCCTATACATGACTGGAATTATCCTAATAGCTTTCTAAAAATGACAGTCATAATAATAAATTAACTAACAAAGTGACAGTCTCTTACAGTCTCGTAGTAGAAAGAGAGCCATGCAAGCAATTACTCTATAATTATAGTGATACAGAATAATCACTATAATAGAGCAATGTATGACACATAGAAGCAGCAACTGCGTGGGCCTAGGGCGTTGGAGATGACTTCACAGAGAAAGGAGTGTTTCAGGAGAGGCTAAAAGATTAAGAAGGGCCAGAAACAGGGGATGATAAAGAGAAAGATTATTCTAGGAAAGAAAACAGAGTGGGCTAAGAACAGAGGAACAAGAAACAGAGTGTTCAGAGAGTGAGTCAATATTAATATGTGAAAAAAAAGATGATATAAGAGGATATATGAAAAATAAAACTGTAAAAGAACAGGACTGAGGGACACCTGGGTGGCTCAGTCAGTTAAGCGTCTGCCTTCGGCTCAGGTCATGATCCCAGGGTCCTGAGATTGAGTCCCGCATCAGGCTTCTTGCTCAATGAGGAGCCTGCTTCTCCTTCTGCCTGCCACTCCCCCTGCTTGTGTGCTCTCTCTCCCTCTCTCTTTCCCTCCCTCCCTCTCTCTCTCTCTCTCTGACAAATAAATAAATAAAATCTTTAAAAAAAAAAAAGAACAGGATTGGTCATAAGAACCTTGTATATCATGAAACAGGCTGTAGATTTTATTCTGTAGGATGTCAGTTTTTTTTGACATCTAAGGTATTTACATCTTGTGCTTTTAATTAATACTCAATTCATTAAAGTTAATAATGCAAAGGCCTAATTTATTTTAAGTACTTAAATTCCCATAACTTTCTATCTTATTTATACATCTAGTAATTTTTATTTAAATAAGAATAGTTGTCAGTGGGATCTTTGACTAATGATTGGACAACTTAGGTTAAATTCTTTCAAATGGATAGTTACATTTAAAAATTTAGTTTTAATTACCCCCTTATATGTTTTATGTTGCATGGATAAATCTATATATTGAACTTTTTAAGCATTTCAAAAACCTAACTGAACAAATTTAATAACTGCACTAAGTAAAATCTTCCCCAAAACTTAAATGACTCTTATAAATCTATCAAAGCATGTCCAGTTCTCTTAAATATTCTAATTGTATTTGCAATGAGATTTTTCTTATACCTTCTAAGAAGCATATTTATTTTGAAAAATTTTATAAAAGGCAGAGAGAATAGGGTGCCTGGGTGGCTCAGATGGTTAAGCGTCTGCCTTCGGCTCAGGTCGTGATCCCAGCATCCGGGGATCGAGTCCCGCATCGGGCTCCTTGCTCCATGGGAGCCTGCTTCTCCCTCTGCCTCTCTCTCTCGCTGTCTCTCATGAATAAATAAATAAAATCTTTAAAATAAATAAATAAATAAAAATAGAAGGCAGAGAGAATAGTATAATGAGCCTCCATGTCCCCTGCACCAACTTCAACAATTATAAATTCATCACCAATCTTGTTTCATCAATACCCCCACTCACTTCCCTCTTTCATATTATTTTGAAACTAATACCAAATACATATAATTCTATTCATGAATATTTTAGTAAGTATCCCTAAAAATTAGGCTCTATATATTAATATAAAAATCAAGTCCATGTTCAAATTTCCAATTGTCTCTTTTTAAGTTTTTTGAATAAGAATCCATATAAAGTCTACACATTTCCATTGACTTATACATTTGCAATTCTCTTTCGAGCTGCAAGTCTACCCTCTATCCCTTTATTTATTTATTTATTACAATTTTTTGTTGAAGAAATCAAGTTGTTTGTGGGCATTATAGTTAACCACAGTCTAGATGTTGCTGAGTGCTTCCGTATAGGATATCTTTCATGTTCCTCTCTCCTCTGTATTTCCAGTAAGTTGGTAGTTGCAGGTAGAGGTGACTTAACCAAATTTAATTCTAGTTTTTTTGGTAAGACCACTTCTTAGATGGTGGTGTATTCTTTTATCAGAAGTCTGTAATGTCAGGTTGACTCCTTTTTTGATGTGAGCAGCATTGACACTCAACATTGACACAATCAAAGAACCCATCCCAGCTGGAGACTGAAACATGTATGTCTATGGCAGTTCTTCCTGAGCCACAAGTGTACCCACTGAGCTTGTTTTTTGGTCTAAGGGATAGCAAGGCACTTCCAGCCCACATTCTTCAAATGGGGTTAGTTTTGCAACCAGCATCTGTTGGGTTTAAGTAACACTCTTTCCTAATTCTTTAAGTGGCTTGAGTAATGAACATGAGAGTGATATAATCATATTTTGCATTAGAGAGATCATTTTAGCAGCAATATGGAAAAGGGACTGTAAGGGTGGAGAAGATGAAGAGCAATGCTCATCACTAGAAGATGAGACAGATGGCTACTGCAAGAGTCCATGCTAGTGATGATATAATTCTGTCCTTGTGTCTAGCAGGAAAGTGAAAGAGATGGAGGGAGGAAGTGAATTATAGGAGACATTAAATATATGGAACTGACAGAACATGATTAATTTGATGTGGAACTGAAGAAGAGTGAGAAACAAGGATGACTTTGAGGCTTAGGTGGATATGTGGAACTTCAGTCCCATTCACTAAGATAAGAAACCTAGTAGGAAAAACAAGTTTATGCTGGGATAAAAGAAGGCAGCCTCAGTTTCTGCAATGTTAATATAGAACTGGCTGTGGGACATTCAAGTAAAGATGTGTATATATGAGTCTGAAACTCAGAAGAGAGGCCTGCACTGGAGATGTCAATGGAAGTCACCAACACTAAGAGAACAAATGAAGCTGTAGGCATATATGAGACCTTTCAGGGACAGATGTAGAGTGGAAAAAGAAAGGAAGCCAAGACCAGAACACAAAGGAACATCATCACTTAAAGGGGAAGTGAAAGGGAAATAAGCCCACCAAGGAAATTGTAGGATGGTGGTCAGAAAGACAAGAAATGAGCCAGGAGAGATTTCTTATGGAAACAAAGAAGACTCTAGGAAGGCAAACTGGCCAATACTGTTAAGGGCCACAAAACAATCACATAATAATGCAGGCTGAGAGGTGTCCAGTGGATTTGGTAAGTAAGTCCTGTAAGAATGGTTTCAGCAAAGGATCGGCAATAGAAGCCAGAGTGTAGTCATGAAGAATTGAGCAAGAGGAAAAGAAGTCAAGTCTGTGAGCACAGACAGCCTTCTCCACTTTGGCTGGGAAAAGGAGGACTATCTGTGGTAATGTGGAGGATTTAGAAAGGTAAAGAGAAGAATTTGGCTTTTATGAATGAGAATCACTTGGGCTAAGGGAGAACACAAATTATGAGATATTTAGGAATGGGGAGTGAAAGAAGGGGAATAATAATAATATAAATAATATGATGACACACAGAACAGAGAAGAGAAAGGGGGTAAAACGCTGATAATTTAGATAGAATTCAGAACACAGGTGGAAGGAAATTTGACAGAAGGTAAGGATAAGTTTGGGTTAAAGGAATATATATATTTTTTTAAGATTTTTATTTATTTATTTGAGAGAGAGAGCAAGCACATGAGAGGGGGGAGGGTCAGAGGGAGAAGCAGACTCCCTGCCGAGCAGGGAGCCCG